TATGTGTGTGTGTGTGTGTGTGTGTGTGTGTGTGTGGGTGTGGGGGGATGGGGGGGGGTGGGGCGGTGCGTGTGTGTCTTGCGGGCACGGGGATGCCGGCGCGCGCGCGCGCACAGTGTGAGAGAGAGAGAGAGAGAGAGATAGATAGATATACACACTCTCTCGCTCGCTCGCGCGCTCTCGCGCTCTCGCGCTCGCACGCTCTCGCGCTCGCGCGCGCGCGCGCGCGCGCGCGCGCGCGCGCACGCACATACTCACTCTATATATATATATATATATATATATATATATATATATATATATATATATATATATATATAAAATATGTCATACTGTACATGCAACATACTGTATATTTCAAAGGATAGCAAAATGTATGCACACACATACACACACAAACATTTTACGGAGCGAATGCCCTTCCAGCCGCAACCCATCTCTGGGAAACATCTACACACACACTCATACATTACTTTCAGCAGGACAATGCGTCATGTCATAAAGCGCGAATCATCTCAGACTGGTTTCTTCACTGTACTTAAATGGCTTTCACAGTCACCAGATCTCAATCCAATAGAGCATCTTTGGGATGTGGTGGAACGGGAGATTCGCATCATGGATGTGCAGCCAACAAATCTGCAGCAACTGCGTGATGCTATCAGGTCAATATGGACCAAAATCTCTGAGGAATATTTCCAGTATATTGTTGAATCTATACCATAGACAAAAAGGTGTCCAACCCCGTACTAGTAAGGTGTACCTAATAAAGTGGCCAGTGAGTGTATATGTACATATTTGCAATTCTAGTGATTGAAAAAATATATAAAGCCATAATCTGAAATATGCATGTATGTTACAGATATACAGATATATTGCATTTATCTGACATAGATTATATATATATAAATATATATATATAAAATATGTCATACTGTACATGCAACTTTAGCCCCTTTCACACATACAGACCTTTCCGGAAAATTGCCGGCAATTTTCCGGAAAGGTTGTATGTGTGAACAGGTCCTTTTTAAAAATACCGGTAAATTCGTTCTGGCTATTTTCCGGAAAGAGAAGTTGTAACATTACCGGCAATTTGCCGGAATGCTGCGCTGTGTGAATGCAGAAGGAAGATTACCGTAATAAGCGCGTGCACGTCTAGAACGTGCTGACGTGAGGCGTCTGCTTTAGCCAATCACATCAGTCAGACGCATTTACGTCCGCGCGGTTTGTGAGAATAAAAACCTTTGAATATTTTTCCAGACACATTTAGCTGCTAGAAGTTAGTCAGATCCCGTTTATATGTTCTTCTTAATGCCAACTGTGTAAATAATCATCGATGAGATGCTTATGATAAGCCGTTGTTTGTTTACCTTTAAGCTTTGCGTGTGCCTTTGAAACAGCCTGTGAGCGCCTGCACACGCAGATATTATGAACATCTCGACATGAGAAAGTGATCCTGCGAAAGTTGTTCACAATATTGATCATCCACAGAGTTTGTAATTTAGTCAAATGTTTACAAATACAAGCGCAGCCGTTTAAAGCTCATTTGTGGTGAATGATGTCAGAATTTACCGGTATTTTGGAATGGATGTGTGAATGCTCTTTTCCGGAAAATTTCCGTAACGTCCTCGCCTGTGTGAACAGCGCTTTTTTGAATATACCGGTAAAGTCGTTCCGGAAATTTTCCAGATATTTACCGGTATCACTGTGTGAAAGGGGCTATACTGTATATTTCAAAGGATAGCAAAATGTATGCACACACATACACACACAAACATTTTACGGAGCGAATGCCCTTCCAGCCGCAACCCATCTCTGGGAAACATCTACACACACACTCATACATTACTTTCAGCAGGACAATGCGTCATGTCATAAAGCGCAAATCATCTCAGACTGGTTTCTTCACTGTACTTAAATGGCTTTCACAGTCACCAGATCTCAATCCAATAGAGCATCTTTGGGATGTGGTGGAACGGGAGATTCGCATCATGGATGTGCAGCCAACAAATCTGCAGCAACTGCGTGATGCCATCAGGTCAATATGGACCAAAATCTCTGAGGAATATTTCCAGTATATTGTTGAATCTATACCATAGACAAAAAGGTGTCCAACCCCGTACTAGTAAGGTGTACCTAATAAAGTGGCCAGTGAGTGTATATGTACATATTTGCAATTCTAGTGATTGAAAAAATATATAAAGCCATAATCTGAAATATGCATGTATGTTACAGATATACAGATATATTGCATTTATCTGACATAGATTATATATATATAAATATATATATATATATATATATATATATATATATATATATATATATATATATATATATATATATATATATATATATATATATATATATATATATATATATATATATATATATATATATATATATATATATATATATATATATATATATATATATATATATATATATATATATATATATATATATATATATATATATATATATATATATATATATATATATATATATATATATATATATATATATATATATATATATATATATATATATATATATATATATATATATATATATATATATATATATATATATATATATATATATATATATATATATATATATATATATATATATATATATATATATATATATATATATATATATATATATATATATATATAAATATATATATATATATAT